TTCTTTGAGAGTCATAAAGGTCTTTGAGAATGAGAGCTATGAATCCTCTCCTTAGAAAAATGCCATGAACATAAAATTTTGCTTAGTCTAGGTTAAAAACTCCTGCTCCAAACTGAGAAACTCCCTCTATTCCCACTTTAGGTAGGAAGCAATCTGACTTATTCTGGACACCATTTCTAAATTAGGAGAAAGTAGCTTTTCTCAGTGATGCCCCAAGGGTCTGCACTGGTTGTTTTCTTTCTCCTGGCTCTGGGAAGCTGGAAACCACCTGGACCAAGCTTTCTTCAAAGCAGCTGGAGGTGAGTGTGTTTCTAGGAGGTGGGTCTGGCCAGGAGAAGAGTCCTTTCAATGACAACAGTCCTGCCTCATCTTTCATTATTATGCTCTTCCAATTTTTCCCTTTCCCTTCCATTCCAGAACATGGACAATGTGCATACTTGCAGGCACGCACATTTCAGAGTACAGACTACTGGCTACTATTGAAAAGACAGAAGCTTTTTTTTTTTTGTATATAACATCCACAAAAAACAATGGTCCTGCTCTGTCAATAAGACAGAGGAAATTACCTCTCCTCCTTCCATAGATAAGTCTTGCTGTTGCTTTTCTTTGTGACCTCTTTTCCCTATAATGGGAATTTGCCTTTAATATTTCTTGGAATAAAAATGTAGAAAGAGGGCCTAGGGGCCTCATGGCCCACGCATGGGCCCAATCCCATGTTTAACAGCCAGGGTGGTCCACTTCCAATCTGATATCCATAGCCATTTTTCACACCATGGCCGTTATTAACAGTTTCACTAGAGACTTAAGAGGTCTGTCCTAGGCTTACAAAGAGTTTCTGCCTTAATAGAGCTCATGATCTACTGTTAGAGAAGTACTTTTTTTTTTTCATATGAGTGATGTCACTTATGAATTCAAAAACCTTTGTAGGCTCACCAACAAGGATAGAATAGGAAAGTCTGGGTCCACTATGACTGTGCCTCAACTTACATTTTCAGCCTCATCCCTTCCTTCGTTCATGCACTCTGTCCAAACACACCAAATACCCAACCACCCTGAGAACACCGAAAAACCCTGGCCCTTCTTACGTGCATCTCTGAGACCGCTCATCTGAACCCTAACCACAGTCCTAGATAATAAATGCTCAATAAATATTTGTTAAATCAATGGAAAGAATGAATACAACAGGAGGAAAGTGGTTTGAGGATTAAAATTAGTGGAAATAAATGTACAGTGAAACTTGGAACATTATGAACTGGGTTCTGGGGTAATACTCGGGATTCCCAGCTTTGTATTTGGAGTTCACAGAGCAGAAATAGGATTGAGTTTCTCTGCTAACACCCAATTCATCCACTGTACACTGTAACATCATTAGGCAATCTCAAATATTATCAGGAGATTGTCAGGTAATAGGGGATCCGAATTCACCTTATACTCATCTAGTTAAAAACAAAGCAAGCACTCTTAATACACTGCCAAGAGCTAGTGCTCGACCGGCACGTAATTATTAGTAGTTAATTTCACAAGTATGAAGCATCTGGCACTTGAATTGTGGCTGGAATGCGAGAGGAAAATGTAATCCCCAGGAGCACCGACAAGGCCTGTGGGAGGCTCAAGAGCTCTCCAAGACAGGCTCCATCTTTCCCATGCACTGCCCGCTGCTCTCACCTCTTTCAGAGGGCTCCCTCTTCAAGCCTCTAGTGCTGGGGTTGCCATAGTTGCACTAGGTCAGCTTTTTCTTTGACTCCTTCCAGCCCCCACCCCTCCCTGCTTTCCTAGTCCAATCACCATCTATAAATTCTGTCGCTGGCATCCGGGGTCTCTTAGGCAACAATGTGTGGTCTCTTGATTGGCCGGGACATCCAGGAGGGCTGGCTCCAAAATTGGGCACCGAGATAAAATTAAAAAGTGGGCGCACCAAGCAGGTGGAGCTACGTCGACATCCTGCTGCTAACGCTGGGCTGGGAAGGTACGCAATTCGGAAACCAGGGGCATGGAAACCTTCATTCAAAACGTGCTGCTGTCGTGTTCCAGATCGGCCCTTACCCACTGAGCATGCCCAGTTATGTTATTCTGGTCACTCCGGAGTTCCGAAATGCGAACTCCACTTTGCCAGGTTTTAAGAGTGGCCAATAGGTAAAATAGGGTTGGAGGAAAACGAATTCGCGTCTGGTTCGATGGAAGAATAGCACCTGCAGCAGGAAATGGGAAGACGTGGGGGAGATTGTCCAACATGCAAACCCACAAGTGCTCCCCCAGCAATTTATATTTATTGGATTATGAATTCAGGCTGAGTGACAGATACACCAGGGAACCAGCAGATGGCATGCCTTAATAACAATAACTCTAAATTTGGAAATCTTAACATCCGGTCTAATTTAATTATTTAAATTTGTTGACTACCTACCTTGTAACAAGGCCTGGAGTGAGCATATATGGATTAAAAAAAAAAAAGAAATCTAATAAGGAAACTGGAAAAAGCAGTAAATAACTAATAGAAGGCTCACAGTCCCAACATCTGTGAGCTGTAGAATACCATGAAGTACCATGAAGTTCAAAATTTTAGAATCAAGCTTCTTTGGCCTAGGCAAAACAGTTGTTATGGGCAGCATTAATCTCCCCTCCCTCAAGCCAAAGCAAACAAACAAAATAACTTTCCTGGCTATTTTTGTTTCCTAAAATAATGTACTCTTCTCCAACTCAAAGGAAGTTACAAACCTTATGTTTGTATTGTGTTTCATAGTTTTTAAATAGGTAACATTTGTATGACTCCAATTTAAATAGCAGAAAAAGGTAAGTTGAGCTCATGGAGGTGGTTGCTTAATCCAAGTTAACAAAGGATCAGCAAGCGGCCAAACTGAAATTGGAACCCAGGTTGTCTGAATTCCAAGGTAGAGGTTTCCACATGAGCAGGTTGTATGTAAATGAATAAACAAAGCCTTTAGGGGGTGTGAGGGGGCTCCTGGAGGAGGTGTGCCTATGTAATACTAAGTTACCATGCATTACCAATTAACATTTATGATTTCAAAACAGGTTCCTCCAGAAGGAGACCAGTTTTAACAATGTCAAGAGTGCAGAGCCTCTATGTGATGCTCCCACGTGTTAATTAAAGACTTTCTATTACAACATGGAAGGAAATCGAGATGGGACATAGCATCTCACTTTATCCCTGTTGGATTTGAATATTTTTATCCCTGACAAAAGGTTCCTTTTGTCTCTCCTCTCAACAGAACCTTCTGGGCCTCCTTCTTCCTGCAGCTCATCTGTCCGACTATTGTTCCCCCAAAGGAGAGTGAGTCACACCATTTCTACTGTGTTCATAGTGACACACAGAGAGCTCAATGTCTGTGATTCTTCAACATTGCTTTTACACAGAAGAACTCAATCATTAAAAAAACAAAAACAAAAAAACCTTAGACACTTTTTATTTTTTGCCATTATACATGTACTCTTTTTGTTTGTTTGCATTACAATTCTTAATACCTTAGAGACTTTTTCATAAGAAATAACTTATATCTCCATGGAGATTTTTTAAAATGTTAACTTTGGCTTTGTGTGTGTTTAACAAACAAGAAGTCCTCTTGTGTATTTCCAGGTCTCATTCTCCTCTCTGCCTGCCTAGAGACAGTCATGAAATTCATTGTTATGAATGTGTAGCCTCCTTGTTTATTATTATGTATATGTTAGTCTTCATAAATGACATGAATTAACACTAGTTATTTTTTAAGGCATCATCATTTATATATTTTTTTTAATATTTATTTTTTAGTTTTAGGTGGACACAATGTTTATTTTATTTTTACGTGGTGCTAAGAATCGAATCCAGTGCCTCACACATGCTAGGTGAGCGTGCTATCACTTGAGCCACATTCCCAGCCCCATCATCATTTATATATCTTGTTGTTTGCTTTTCACCAAATACAAATTTTAGAGGTTTAGTCATGTCGGTACATTCATTTCTACATCATTCGCACCTTCCAATGAGAGCTGTGATGTGTCCTATGCCTGACAGTCTTTACAGGATAATGTGTAAATCAAATAAAAAATGCACCTAGCCACACATCTGCAGAGGTTCCTCAGCCACAGGGATCTGGAAATACACAAAACAGGCATAGAGGTTTTTCCAGCCTTGCCGCCTCACCTTCAGCACAGGTGCTGCTGGCTCCCCAGGACACGCTGGCTTGCCTAGAATCAGCCTAAGGACCACTATGTCTTTACAAAAGAAGAAATGTTGCTGTACAATTATGTGTTTATTAGGATAATGGAAATTGTCGTTGGAGGTCTCGTTTATTATGCCAGTTCACAGAGGTTTTGTTGTTATGACATGACGGGCCGGGCCTCCCAATGCTAGGTAGGTGCCCCTACCAAAGAACTACATCCCCCAAACAGATTACCTTCTGATGGGAAATTATGCCTCAGCTCAACTCTTCAGTGTTCACTTAAAATCTGAACATCTTTTAAGACAATTGTAAAATATACATAAAAGTTATCTGAACCGTTTTTTTAGGTACACTAATTAGTAGTGTTGAGTACATTCACTTGTGCAACAGGATCAACATTACTAGTCCTGCGTGCTACCAACAGAACAAAAAGGATGTCCCTGAAGTTTAAGTTGAAGAGGGGTGAGGAGGAGGAAGAGAAAGGTAAAGTGTAATACTAAGAAAAATAGCCACGGCTTTGAATGTCATTAAAACACTGCAAGGGGGGCTGGGGTTGTGGCTCAGCGGTAGTGCGCTGGCCTAGCACGTGAGACGCGCTGGGCTGGATCCTGAGCACCACATAAAAAATAAATAAATAAATAAAGGTATTGTGCCAGCTACAACTAAAAAAATATTAAACAACAACAACAAAACACCGTGTGGCTTGGATAAGTCATCTAACCTTTTAGGCGTTTATCTCATCATTTGAAAAACAGAGATTCTCTGTTGGTGATCGCTAAGGGCTTTTTAGTTCTCAAATCTTCTACGTAGAAAAAGACAACGGAGACCTTTCCTAAAGAGCAAAAGATGGGGCACAGCACTAGTTAGCCACGAGCTTCACCTGTTTAATAGGGTCTTGGCAAAGAGGATGCAAATTACTCCCGGGCCAGTATTCTGTTCCTGTCTGCCACAGTGTGTCAGCCTGGCGGCTGCAACCGACCAAATGCCCGCCGCTACCTGCGCCCTGTTCCCCCCTCGGTACTGCTACCCGCCTTCGGACCCCCGAGTCCCGAGGTCTGCACCCCGGCGCACAGAGCAGGTGTTGGGGTTCTTGCATTGACAGCCTCGCAGGCTTGGGTGCTGGCGAGTCGCGGTGCTGTTGCAGCAGGGGAGGGCGCGCTTTGCAAGGAGGACCGAGCGCCACTCAGAAGACTGCTTCCGTAGTTGGGAACACCACGCCAGTGCGGGACAGCGGCTGGCG